TGATCTCTGACAGCACAATGCTGGCCACTAGCGATTTAATATCTTTTGCAATGCAAGTTGCAAATGGAATGGAATACCTATCGTCGATACCGGTTAGCGATGTCAAACTGTTTTTGTTTATCATTGCTCTTAGTTAAAGGCAAGCCCCGGGATAAAACCGGTGATAAGAGCGCTTCGTAATGATGACTGAGCTGCGGAACGACCTGAAAGTGGAAAGGAAAGCTAGAGAATCTTTGGGATCGCTGAAATTAAGGCCTTAACCTTCAAAAAGGTCGGATGTGGAACGATGGCGAGGCAGGGCGGTCAAAGAAGACAAAACACGCGAGAGATCACGCCGTTCGAGAGAGCACGCCGATATCGAGGTGGGTGGGAAGCGTTGCAACGGGGTCGATGGTTGCAGGCCCGTAAGGATTAGCGCCCTAACCGCGCAACTTTTGCGGCGAAGCTGGAGTGATCTAGGTAAGTAGGGACCTTACAATTTCCCTCGCGGTGTTCTTCCCACATGTCGGGCTAGGAGTTTGCCTTTGAAGGTGTCGTACAGGAGAACTTGTTGAACTTCTTCACGTCATGAATGCGTCATTTGTGATCGCTAGCTGTAGCAACATAGACACCTGCATGGAAATTAATTTTCCGGAATGAGCAAACCTGCTAATGCTACACTCTGCGCTAAGTCCGTAGGTACCGAGGCGGAGCCAAGAGAGCTTATGAATTAACTACTAACCTCCTTTCAAAAAGCGAGAAAGTGTCGGGTGCAGACCATACACCACAAGTGACGACGGCCTCCAAGTAAATCTGGTTAGTAGTGGTTCATAGTGATAGCTGATTTTTGGTAAATGATAGTTGTAATTAGTGACAACTGATAGAATACAACTGCAACAGGCATTTCATTGGCAGAAAACACATTTTGTGGAGGCCGTCGTCACTTGTGGTGTATGGTCTGCACCCGACGCTCTTCTCGTTTTTGAAAGGGAGTATACTTGGTGAGGCGGCATCGTACTAGTTGAGCGTGGTAGAAATGAATTGAAATAAAGCTTCTGCATTTTTAGTGAGACAGAACGTTTTCAGAGTGAAAGCCTAGGACGCGATAGAACAGTGAAATTTCTTGGACATAGTTGAAGAGGCTAAAAAGGTCTCGTAGCTACGCCGAGTAATAGTTTTCTGAGTTTCTGAGTGTTACCGAAAAAATTTTCTTGTATTCTTTTCGATATTGACCTGAATGATGGAGCTCGAGCCACCGATTTTTGGGGGCGATAGAATCGTGCAGTTCCCTTGCCGTTTGCAGTAATTCATCAAGCTACTGTCGAGGTGTTGTGGAAGGGGTCGCTCGGGCAAATGTCCTCGAATTCGACATGGGCTCACATTGCTCAGCGCTGCAGTAATTTGTGCAACTCATACAAACAGGACAGAGTGGAGTGGTGTTGATTGGCTTCGCAGGCTACATTTAGTCCGTTTTCAGTGTATTCATCGAGATTTGGCTGCAAGAAACGTCCTACTGACGAGCAAGCGTATATGTCGCATAGCGGACTTTGGCATGGCCAAGAACGAAAACAAGAACTACTACAGGTTAGAATTGCCTTGTGGAAAGCTCTTCATCATGTTATCGGATTTCACTGTAGCTACATATGACCCTTTTTCAGATTGCGGAAGAAGAATGTGCTTGTACCGTATCGTTGGATGGCTATCGAAGCCATTCAGGACGGTGTGTACACATTGGAGGTGAGTAATTCGTTCTTAAAGGAATCTTGCGCGGAAAATTCTTGCACTCTTTCCTAACATGAATATGTCAGTTGTGATCACTGGAAATAGCACACAAAGTTTCACGCATGAAGATTCGGTTTCTGAAGAGAAACAAACGTACAAAAACTACACGTTATGGACCATCGAAGGACCAGGAGGCAGAGCCAGGCGAGGCATGGAAAGAAGACGGCGTTTGGCCGGCTACGTACCAGGCGACGCAATGAGAGAATCGGGTTAAAGCGCGCGATTTCGGAGAGTGGAGACAAATCGATCGATGGAATAGGATGGAGTAGAAGTGTAAGATGTGAATGCAACGAAGCAGAAGGCCAGAAAGAGCTTCTAGTGAATGCACTCCAAGAACCAAGTTTGAGCATCCCCGTCGCCAGCATTCGTGAAAGACGTCCGTGGGCAATTCGAACGCGTAGCAGCCTTTTCGAGTTTTCGAATTTCTAATCAAAACGAAAGCAATACTTCAGTTCTTTTCACTATTATCGTGGATAATGAGTCTCAAGCCAGTGATTTATGGCTGAAATAGAATCATGATTTTTCCGCGCAAGATTCCTTTAAGGGATTCATCTGATATTGTCCTTTTCTCAAACGGGTCGATTCACGGCTAGTTCACAAGGGAAACATTCTGGAAAGTGCGATGGGTCCTATTTCTATGACGACAATTTATAAATAAATAAACCTTTTTTTAATCCAGTGACATCATCCCATCTTATTTTCCTATCTTATTTTCGGTCCACCTTCCCTAGTTCCTTTATGTTTCACTTCCAATACGACCGGTCCTTTTTTTAGTCCGACATGTGGTCGTTCGGTATCCTGCTCTACGAAATTTTCACGCTGGGTGGATTACCGTATCCCACAATCTCGAATGAGGACCTCCTGCCAAAGCTACTCGATGGATATAGAAACACCAAGCCACAATACTGCCATGAAGACATGTGAGCACATTGTATTCATATATTCATTAATTTCAACAATCTTTGATGACATTACAATCTCGATTGAGTCTTTTGAAACAGTATGAAGCATATAATTCGCGATCAAGAGAGCCTTCTAACTTTATGAGTCTGGGGAAGAAGTCGTTAAATAGTCTTAAAATCAACGAAACCCATAGCTAGCAGCACTCTTCTACGTGGACATCCCTTCCCGTTGCACATACTCCTATACATATCAAGCCAAAAAGGTGCCGGAAAACAAAAATTTGACTCCGATTCGAGAGAACGTCGAATGTCAGCTGCTGGCACACTTTCTTGCTGCTTTTTGAACAGATTTTATTAAGATTTCCAGAGAATCATAATTTTATTCAATCAAATTCAATTCAAGCAATCAAAAGCAATCTAAGATATCTGACAGGCTTAGCAGCCGATCCGCTCCCCTTTAATCGGTGGGACCACCCGTCTGTGTCTTACCCACCTTCATCGTTTGATATGAGTAGTACCTCAGTCGAATCCATCAACGGTAATCTTAACTGAAGTTTATCCTTTCAAAGGAAACGATTTCCAGGAAAAAAGTAAAACAGCTGGAAATGTTGCGCTGCTATTCGACAGCTTGTGCTCAATTTTAAGGCCTAATTTGAGCCTAAGATATTCATACTTGTAATGAAACAAAACGTTATAGTTATGAATTGATGACGCGATGTTGGGACAAAGATCCGAATGAACGCCCAAATTTCACGCAATGTATACACCAGTTGAAAGAGCACCTCCGGCTAGCATCACCTCAGGTATGACGAAGTTTTTTCTTTATCTCATAATTCGAGGAGTTATTATGCTCTTTTAGTAGCAATGTTAGTCACATTTTTGATACCATCTGGGGTCGGTCAGGAGGCTCATCAACCAGTGAACGCGGCGTCGCGATTAGCGTTGCGCGCTTTGCTGTGGGAGGCACTCTGATGCGTATGTCTGCTCTATGCTGCGCTTGCAGCACAATGTTCATTTACCGTCACCTTGCCAACATTTTCTTCTCTTCCCTGTTACTTTCAGTGCAGTAAAGGCAAAACTTGTGGATTACACTCATGGTCTTATCCCAGTGCATGTCTTCAATGAAAAGCCTTTTTATGCGAGACGCTTAATTCGATATTTTGGAGCACCGGGTCATTATTGAGTGCGATGGCAAAGCGTTAAATGACCTTGTGGTTTGAAGGCTTCAAGTATTGGTTCATAGCGAACCTTGTCCTCCTAAACAAGTCACGCAGGTGTTCTCACAGAACTTTCGGGCAAGAAGGGTCGCACTGACGAAGTGTCTGTGCGCGTACGCGCACACATTATCAACTGAATGCGGCCACTGCTCGAGCCTTAACATAAATACTTCAAATTATTGAATATTTTCGAATATGGTATTCCAGAGTACATCAAAGTTTTTTTTGTGAATTTTGTCCATAACTGATTTTGATTTTCAGTTATTGGAGCGTGTGGAATTGGATCTTGGCGAAGAATGCAAACGTCAAGACGCCCTAGCTCAATGGTTGACGCCGGAACCTGACCCACGAGAAGGCATTAACGGTTTCGGCACTGTCAATCCGTCCTCACCAAAGCATACTGAGCATATTTATATCAGTGAATTCTCTCGGTAGCTTGCTTACAGTATTAATTTTCTTCAGTACTAGAAACTTACTGACTTGAATTGTATTTTATGTCAACTAGTGCTTAATACTTCTCCGTGAACTAGTCAGAATTCGATAGTGTATCGAAATTTTTGTTCATTGTTATCGCCTCGGTTTCAAACTCTTTCCCGTGTTGTGTCACTTGACCATTAAGCTATGCTGACTCGTATTTCTTCAGCACGGGTCCTCAAAGGAAGCATGTATGGTTTTAGCGAGTTCTTTGTTGATTAACTGCTGAACTATAAATGCGATAGATAGCCGCTAGTTAGGTGCTAACGCTGAAGAAATACGTTGGCTATTCCAGCGGTTTGTCCCAAGACGAAGCTTGTGCTCTAAATTATCCTCCAAAGAGGAAGCTACTATTTCCTGTCATTGTATGTTTCATGTTAGCTCCACACCGTTTTTGAATTTTAAACTTGCCATGACTACTTATTTTGATCTTACCCTTGCGGGGAATTTACATACGCATATGCATGCGATCTTTATTTGTTTCTTGATTTTAAATCATACCAGTGTCTCAGAAGATTCGAATATAAATATTCTATGATGTATTTCATGACTGCTCATGTTTAAATCCCTCGCTCTGTCACGTAGTGTCACGAAATCGACACTTCATTCTGACGAGTATCACTTATGATATTATGATGTTCCAACGAGAGGAAAGGGTTTGGTCATGTATTTGATAGGAAAACATTTTTGGCTTGTTCAGCAGTCTTTGGAGGCGCTATCGCAATATGCGGAGGCATTTTCCAGGAATAAAGCTTAAAGGCACGCTCCGCGATCAGGCGGCTCGCCTGTTCCATCCAGGGGGTAGTAGGCAGGTGGACAAGTGTTGATGTCGCGCCCCTTTTGCGCTTGAAAGTGCGCGACAAAGGCGCAAGGAGCTCGTCCAACCCGCAACTCACACCTTCGTCCGCAAGCCCCACCCTCCGCTGTCGGTTGCCACGTGGCGCTGCTTGAAAAGCGCGGGCGCATTTGAGGCAGCGGTCCCATCGCGATCCAATGTCATTGGCACTGGAGCAACTAGAGTTAGGTTCGTGAAACTCGTCCAACGCGCCCTTCTCTATCCCAAGGTGGAATGTGGCTGAAATAGGGGAGGTCTCTGTACGGGGCGTAATCGGTGGTTTCGTTTGCTTTCCTTCTCTTTTACAGACCACCTCCCACCTCTAGCTTCATAACTGAACGCTTTTCCACACCTATTTTATCCCGAATCTTGCCTTTAATAGGGGGAAGGAGCTCCGGGGAAAGTGAAAGTGGGTCGCGCACGCGCCTAACACAGGAAATGCTTCGGATTTCCCATGGAAACTTTGGAAGGAGACCTAGATGTATCGATAGAGTCTTGAACGCTGATTACAAATATGGACACTAAAACTGCTACGTGAACTTCCTAAGAAAGTTATGAGCCTTCAAAACGTTACTGAGGCGAGCTTACCTGGTGGAATCACAGTCGCCGTGGCTCTGCGCCAAAAACGAGTCTCATATTCGTAATCAGGGCACCCATTTACCCTTATAGAACAAGTTCCAGGCAAAAAGCAACCGTGTTTCCACATAGGTTGCACCTCATCATTAGCGTTCTTTTGCAACTTTTAAGGCTCACAACTTTCTTACAAAGTTCACGTAGCAGTTTTAGTGTCCATATTTGTAATCAGCGTCCAAGACTATCGATGTACCTAGGTCTCCTTTCAAAGTTCCATGGAAAGCTCATAATATTCCCTGGTAAAGTTTAGTCCCGATTTTAACAAAAAAAGACATGTTTTACGCGGTTTTAAATGTATTACCATCGTCTCTGGATTTTATTTCCGTCAGGAGGGTTCTTCTACAGGTTGCGCCATATTTTTCTTTATCATTTTCATTTGTTTGCTCTGCGTTCGAAGAAGCGCCACAGCCAGGCGATGATAGGAATAGCATGACTGTGACAATATTGTGAGTTTGAGGTTCGACAAAGGAAATGAAAAGAAACAGGAAAAATAAAAAAGCAAGATAAACAAAAAACAAGATAATTATAATATGAAAATACTGTTTTGGATTAATATGGCTAATCGATATCTTATCTAATATCTTGCACTACACATCTGTCGATGTAAGTGGTACGCGTGCTGCTAGAAATTTAGATGGTAAAAAAGCGTTTATTGCCCAGAAACCAAAATTCAGTTCACAACACAAGACAGATAACAAAGGCCGCGGATTCACTGTTACCGTAATCCGTGTTAGCATTGGTGCGCGCTGCAGCAAGCATTGGCGCGCTTTTTGCGACGCAAGGATTAGCACGAAGAGCCAAAAGATTGGGAAAGTCACAAAGCGGTGGAATAAAGAGTAGACAAAGGAGCACAAAATAGAGCAGAGTTGGCAGTCCTGAGAGCTATCGCTTGATCGCTATCAGGACTAAGCATTTGGCGAGAGGAGGCTCAGAGGTGAGCAAGGTGAGCCACTCACCTTGTGATCTCACACATTTCATCTCTTACTACACGATGCGCAATTCACCCAACGCGGTGTTCCCCTTCCCATCAAGAGGCACTAGACCTAAGTGAGAGTCCAGGACAGCAGAAAGTATGCGTTAGTCAGCGCCAGTTCTAAAAGCGAATGTACGAATGTAATGTAATGTTAATGTAATGTAAGCGAATGTAATGTTTACGCCGAATTTAGTGAAAACAGCCGTCGTGACAAGGTGGCCACAAATGGCGACAAATGGCGCCAGCGGCATAAGCGAATACTCGTAATCACCTATCAACCGCAGGGCCTGGTGATTCAGGTTTTTATGGTGTTCTGTGGGCACACTCGCATATGCACACCATTACAGCATCTCTCCTTTCTTACCTCCTTCATAAGGCTTAGTCCTCTCACTTATTGGTTGATCACTGCTCCCGCGCTGATGCTTGTGTCGCTTAAAGGGCGCGCCATTGCTAACGCAGGTTACGGTAGCAGTGAATCCGTGGCCTTTGTTATCTGTCCTGTGTTCACAACAATTGAATATAATTGTCTCGTTCTTGAATTACGGCTCGTAGACACTTCGGGCACGCTTCGACATCAGTATGCAACATGTCACACTTTTTCACCGACGAAATTTTGCTTAAAGCTACTGGTCGGAATTAGGTATCAAGAGCCAGTTCCTTCCAGAGTGAGAAGCAGGGGTTCTCAAGGGCAGGAGGCACCCACACGTATTATTTAGAGTTCTTATGGTTAGAGCCTGTTGGGGAATTTCGGACAGGCTTTTTAGGTGGTCTCTGCAGAGAAGCCACAAGGCAAAGCCTTAGCGCCCCGGCAGCATAAGGATAGCAGCACGGCGCTAAGGCTTGCCTTGTGTGCTGCCGTGCTGCCATCCTTATCAACCACGGCATACGTGGTCTCTGCGTCCTCTCGCGTACGACGTACTATCTCGCGTTTTCCCTCTCCTCGCAGCGCTGTGTCTCTCCGTCATACCACGGCCGGCCTCTAAGGGAAATTTAGTGTTTTCTATGGTGCTTTTTGCTTTTTCTCCTCACTAATGTTCCTCATTGCACTCTTGCCTAATTTTCAACAAAATAACGCATCAATTTATTCCGGACACGTGCCTTTACCTAAGAAGACACCGTAAACGTCCAGAACACCTATATGCTAACTTTTAGGCGTTTCAGAAAGTTCTGTCGTTTTCCGACCCCGAATTTTAAATGCATGTATCTCGGCTTAAACTAAACCTTTCAAGTTGATTAAAAAACCATTCGAAAGCGCGAATCTTTTCTATAAGAAACCGTTCAACTGGGTACGTTTGTTCAGAATGCTGGAGCTCTGGAGGCGATGAACTGAGGGAAGGTCGTTTTAGCATGTTGGGTTTTGATGTATTTCTCTTCAAGGAAGCTATCGAGATCGTCAGAAATGTGACAGTAGATAGATCAAAGGTCTACTAAGTAAGATGTTCGCAGCACTGAAGTTCAGCTGGTCCAACTTGTGAAGGGTTGGCCGTGCGATGTGCGTTCAAGACACCTTTCAGGGATGTGTCCACCCCTTTATAATGAGGAATGCTGGACATGTCTTGGAGTTTTTGGTGAATTTTGACGTAATGTTAAGACTGCTTTTCCACTGTAACAGTTCCTGGTTATGCGGAAGAACCAGGCCAGCCGCTGACCTTATGAAAGTTGCCATAACCCTCCTTCAGCACAGTTTAAGTTTTGCAACAGTTTGTAGAGCTTCATCGCCGTCGATCTATTCAGCAAAGCTTCGTGGACTGTAGAGAAGAATCCGCTCTTTATTGTACGTCGCAAATCTGTAGAAAAACGAGTCGCTTTTATCACATAAAACAAGCGACAATTTGATGGACGACCCTTCAAATTGGTGATTTGTCGCGGCACGCCCCTATCAAATTTTTTGGACTTTCCAGCTACTTCCGTATAGCTTGGCTCTACAAACCATATACGCCCAGGTTGGGCAGAACCTCCTCTATGGTCTTACGCACGAGTGCCTCAATCAGAACTTTTGGCTAATCGGTGGCAACGTCCGATATCCGACCACCACTCTTATCATACCCAAGGCTCTCGCTTTCGTTACAATAACTTTTGAACTACTGCTTCTGAGCACATTTATTGCGAATCTAGGCCAAGTGCATTAATATCTTGAACTGTTCCCGCTACTTTCAGGTCTATTTAAAGCTAGAAAAAGAAAGTCATGCCAACTTGCTCATCGAGTATACCGCATTCAGAGCTTTGAAAAAGCTATGAGAAAAGTTTTAGGACAAAGCTAAGCTAAGCATGAGATAGAGCAGGAAAAGCTCTTCAAAACGGCATTCATACCGATTGCAGTTTTTCTGGGTTTAAAGGAAAATAGAGCATCCAAAAGTGGAGTGTCAAAAACGACAGAACTTTTTGAAACGCCTAATACTTGGAACCACGGCACTGGCCATAAGGTCCAAATTGTTCCTCGTAACCTTTTTTGCTCTTTCAGGAGGATTTCGATTAACATCTACGTTACCTGACGATGAACGCACATGTCCATAAAACGAC